CGCAGGGTGCCGAGCCCCTGGTCCCCACCAGCTGCGCGATGAAAGGACCTTCCTGTTGGCTTCCTGGTCGAGGGTGCCATGCTGCTTCTCGCGCAGCAGCACCGTGACTCCTCCGACACCTGAGTCCAGTCTGTGCTTTCAACCCTTGCTGAGCCAGTGTCCCTGAGCCCCGGGCCACAGGGGCCAAGTGTGAGCCCTGAAAATCCCACATCTGGCCAAACCAGAACACCCGGACCTCCCCCCTCAGAGACCCCCACATCCACCCAAGCAGCAGCAGCTCCTCGGGCTAGCCCAAGCCCCACCCCCCACCTCTGTCCCACCTCTGCCGTCCAAGTGCTGGTCACAACACCTTGGCCTTGGCCCCTGCCCTGCGGTGCGGGTGGGCCAGGGCACTGCTTCCTGAGCCCACGACCCGCAGTTGGCTCTCTCTGCTGATCTCCCAGCCAGTTAAGGCTTCTTCATTTTGCTTCTGGTGGAACAGACACACCACGCGCCACGGGAGCTCCGCTAAGTGTGCGGACGGGAGCTGGCAGCGCGTGTGCACTGCCGTGTGACTGTCACCCCCGCCACGCCACTGCCTCTACTTTTTCATGGTCCTCGCTGGTCCTCCCTATCCAGTAAACGCTGCTCCTCGCCTCCTCCTGTCCCAGCACCAACCCTTCTCCCTCCCGTCTCTGAAGTTAAGGACTCTGGGTATCTCACGTACGTGGACTCAGTCAGTATGCGACCTCCTCTGGCTGGTCCATTTCACCTGGCATGTATATTCCCCAGGGTCATCCCTGTTGTGGCATGGGCCGGAACTCCCTTCCTTTTGAGGGCTGAATAATATGCCCTGGTCTGGCTGGCCCACACGTTGCTGTGCAGCCCTCCATTGCCAGGTACTTGGGCAGCTTCCACCGTTTGACGGTGTGGGTGGAGCTGTTATGAGCGCCATGTGCTGAGTCTGAACCCCTGCTTTTTGGGGGGTATTTACCCAGATTAGTGGATCATATGGTAATTCTGTTTAATTTTTGAGGAACCCCATTTTCCGCATGGCTGCACCATTTTACGCCTCGGCCCCTCCATCCCCCGACCCCCAACAATGCAGAAGGTTCCCACTTGTCCACGTCCTCGCCAGCACTGGGTTCTGTCTGGCTAATGACAGCCTTGCAGAGGGCGTGACCTGTCTCTGTGGGACCCGTCTCTGTGTTCGGGCTGCCCCAGCACAGGACTGGCGAGGCCCCATCTCCTGGCTGGCCCTACCTGACACAGGTTTCCTGGGGAGGGGGAACCGTCCACGGCAGGGTGGAGGAAGTAGAGGGGCAGGCGCAGGGGAGCCTGGGGGCCCAGGCCTGAGCCTGGATGGAGGTGCACAGGCAGGTTGGAGCTTCTCCCTCCACAACCTGTCGCCAGGGCTGGAACACGTGTCCTCCATCTGCAAACCCAGCAGCTCCCTGACCAGGCCTGACCAAGTGCCCGAGCTGCAGGGAAGCCTCAGAGCCAAGCTGGCGGCAGCAGGTAAGCTCTCAGAAACGTGCGAGGGGCAGTGACCCCCACACATGCTATGCTCAGCTCAGCCCTCCCCAGCACTCCACCGAGGGCTCTGGCCTGTCCCTGACCTGCACACCATCCCGGCCACAGAGGGCAGCCCCCCTTCCTCCCAGGCCACGGCAGGGGTAGCAGCACTCCCCAGCTTGGACGAGCACTCACGATGCACCAAGCACACAGGGGTGCCTGCCCTGGGCCCGCAGCACTGTCCAGGCGGCTGGTCACTGCGCCATTTTACAGATGAGGACACAGAGGCCTAGCAAGCTTCAGGCCTGCTGAGTCCAGGCAGGCAGGGCCAGAATCTGAACCCACAGCTGGCACCAGCTTCCTCGGCTCCCCTCTGCCCCTCGGGGGTATCCCCCAGGAAGGACCAGGGTTCCCACAGTTGCTTGTGGAGAGGTAGAGGCTGAGAGTGTGGCACTCACTGCTGCTGACGGAAGGTGACTTGGCGCTACTATGGCAACGGCGGAAGGCAGAGGCCGTAATTGGGGGAGACAGAGAGGCCCGATCTGCTGAAGCAAGTCTGTCAAAAGTCCTGAACAAGGCGAGCGCTTTCTGTATTATTTTTCTGCCTGTATTTATTATTTATTTAGGATTGTGTTTCCCCCCAAGCTCTGTCACTGGCTGTAGGGAGGCGGGCGGGCAGCAGGGAGCGGATCTGTGGCAGCAGGGAGCGGATCTGTGGCAGCTGGACCCCCCGGCACGGAGCCCTGTGCTGCCTCCCCTGCACTCAGCCTGGGCCTCCACAGGGGCCTGCGGGTCCAGGCACCGCTGAGCCAGCTCAGCCACCTGACGCTGCACCTGGTGGAGCAGGTGACAGCAGGGACGGGCCGGCTCCCTGCATGCAGGCCCACCGCACCGCCACCCATCTCCCCTGTCCACCTCGGGGCCGCTCCACGTACTTAGAGGCGTCACCTCTGACCAGGAAGGTGTATTTCCATTCTATGGGGATTTAGGGCACCCCAAAGCCCGGGGGTCCAGAGCCCCAGGGTAAGCACCCTGGATTGACTCTAGGTTCTAGTGGGCAGGAGTGGGCCTTCTTCATAGCCAACTCCCAACCCCCAATGCAGCTGCCCCCTCGCAGGTGCCTCTGTCAGCTCGTGGGATGCCATCAGCAGTTCCACGCCCGTTTTGCAGATGAGGAAAGTGAGATTCAGAGGGGGTAAAGGGCCCGTGTAGCCTCGGGTGTGACCCCAAAGCCCAGGAGCCTGAGCGCATTTTTCACATTCAGGTGCCAGGAATTTGAATCCCTGTGATGACCATAGCAACGGCCTGCATCACACCCATCCTACAGCCGAGGAAATTGAGGCACAACAAGGCGGGCAGAGGCAAGTTGCCCAAGACAGAGCTGGGAGTTGAGCCAGCGGCTGCCTCCAGGCCCACAAACCACCCACGGGCCCCACAGCTAACCCAGGGCCTCGGCTCAGGGAAGGCCAAGGCCTCGGAAGGGGAAACATCCAGCATGTGCTAGATTGGGGGAGTCTCAGATCCTCATTTGTCCTTCAGAACTAGAAGGGGGACCAGAGCAGGAGGCAGGGATGAAAATACCTGCTCCGAGGTACAGCGTGTCCAACCCCGAGCTACACGCCATTGAGGCCATCTGCGGAAGGTCTCAGCACAGGCTGCCCCGGGAGTGACCGCGGGCCAGGGGCTGCTTTGTTCTCTTCGCCCTTGCTGCGGCCAGGCCTCCCGTCCTCACCCAGAGCGCCTGTCCCCACACCCGCCATGTGACCCAAGTGGATTCTCAGTCACTCTGGGCTTGTGCCTGCCCACCCTATCCATGAACCCGGGGCATCCATGATTAGAGCTCCCAGCTCTGGTCGTCCTGGCCTGCAGTGAGATGGGGTGTGCTGGGGCCGTCCCCGCCGGCGTGCAGTGAGAGAAGTGTGGGGAGCAGCCTCCAGCACAGGGTGAGCGGCCACGGTGCTGCCTGTTGATATGAGTGCGTGTTGGCACCTGATCAGACTTACGGCTTCGTTGGAAATGCCTTGCCACGTCACTTTTGTCAGGCCCCAGGCTGGGCCCCGGGAGATACAGAGAAAAATTGGACACTGCTGCCAGCTCCAGACCCAAGTTCACGGGTCTATGTGGACAAAAACTGCCCCCACTTAGCTCCTCTGTAAGGCGACTGAGCCGAACCCCAGAGAGACACAAGGAAGTCACCGTGTTTACCACCAGATGCGGGTGGGGGCGGGGTGGGGCTTAGGGAATTCCAGCAGGACTTGGCCGAATGAGGACCAAGGCCAGGGCAGGGCTGCAGGAGGGGGCATCGGGCATTGGCCTGAGGGCTGTGCTCTCTGCTCGCCCTTGAGGGGAGCCCTTGCAGGTGAACGACCTGCCCAGCCTCATGCAGCACCCCTGGGTGTCCAAAGAGCCTGATGCTGCTGGAGTGTGAGGTCCCTGGGGAGAAGGAAAGACCAGCCGGCAGCTCCCAGAGCAGGGATCTCACCGCGGCCTCGCTGGGGTGTCTGGTGCCCCAGGCTGTCTGCCCAGGGTAGAAGCTGGAGCGCAGAGACGCGCCCCGAAGGGAGCCGAGCTGCATGGGAGGGGCCGAGCCCCCAGGAGACGCGTGCTCTCCTGTCTCAGGCGGACAGCAAGCTGAGACGTCCCACTTCATTCTCGTGACATGACAGGGGAATTTTCCTCCCACGAGGCCTGTGAGGCCTCTGTCCACTCCGGCAGCCACGGCCGCAAGCATGCTCAGGCCAATCCTACTTGAGGTGTGAGTGTTACACACTCGCCCGAGAGTGGAGAATGAAAACGCCTCGCGGATAGCTTTTGCCTGGTTCCGTGTGGACGTGGCGATGCTTCGGACAGTTGGGGTGAGCCGAACAGACGGCCGAGAGCTCGTTCTTTCTCCGTGACTTCGTGAAGCTGCTAGAAAGGCGACCGTCGGTGTCTGTGGCAACGCAGATCAAACTCGACGCAGGTGCCCCTGTGCTGGGGCAGGTCTCAGGGCTTGGGTTGAAAGGGGAGGCCGGTCTCCAGCTCGGCCCGTGCCCCCTTAGCTCAAGGATTTCAGCCTGGAGCCCCATCCCTCATGGCTCATTGGATGGGATCTGTGTTCCTCCAAAGGCACCTCCTCTGTCTTCTGTTTTAAATGTCATGAGACCTTCCTCTCTGGAGTCTATCAGGTCTGCAGGAAAGTGGGACCCCAACTCAGGAGGCTTCCCACCTGGGCCCGGCCCCCTCACGCTGCCTCCCATTATTAACATCCGCGTCGGTGTTACAGTCCACCTGGGATGGCTGACGGGTTGTTAGTTCAGTCGAGTCCACAGCGGGCACCAGGGTTCGCCTTAGCGCCGCCCGTGCTGTGGGTTTGGACAAACGTCTGATGACATGTACCTGTCACTGCAGCTTCAAAGTCGTTCCGCAGCCCTAAAATCCCCTGTGCTCCGCCGACCCCCCACCTCCCCCACGCTGGTGACCACTGGCCTTCTTATGGCCCCTGTGCCTTTGTCTTTTCCAGAATGTCCCTGAGTTGGAATCAGGCGGTTTGTCGTCTTTTCGGCTTTACACTTGTCACGCGCGTGAGGCTCCGAGCACCTTCTGCGGCTCGATGTGCCATTGCTCTCCGTCACCTAAGCGCCCCACGTCCAGGTGAGCCGGTTCGCTAGCCAGTCACCTGCGACAGGGTACCTCCGCTGCCCGCGGCGCTTCTTTTTTTAATGAGTTTTTTAAAGCCGGGTCCACAGTTCTTGCCTAGTGGTAACTTAGCAGAACAGTAAAGCACAGTTTCAGATGCGGCGCCAGGAATCAGGCCAGGCGTGGACACTGCTCCGGTGTCCTCAAGGGTGTGACTCACCTCTGCCCCCACCAGCGGGGAGAGAGGTGCACAGGAAGCGGGTCGGGGTGCCCAGGCTTGGGGATGCTGCTCACAAGCACCTGCTCCCTCCAAGTCAACTGGAGACGTGAACTCACTAAAGAGCCGAGCCGGGTGTGGGCAGGGCAGTGGGGACGGTCTCTCGTCAGCTGAACACCATCCAGGAAGGGCCAGGTGACTGCCGCTCACGCTTCAATCCCCACTGCACCCCTGTGGCGTCTGGATTATTAACCTTGGTCTGTCAGCTCAGAGAAGTTTTGCACTCACCTAAGAACACACAGCAAGTTAGGCACCAGAATTGATTTCAGAGACCAGACATCTGGCCCCAAAGTCAGGCACACACATTCCAAAGTGACGCTTTCTGCTGTACTGGAAACAAGGGCCTCGCGTGCCAGCGCCCTTGGGCTGTAGCGTCCATTTCATCTTGGGATCTTGCCCTGAATTTCACTTTCAGCAGCTTGTTACAAACATTATTTCCATGCAAGTATGGTCTTGCCTTCTCTTGCCACCACTGTGTCTATAGCACCTAGCACAGTGCCTGTCACATAGTAGTTGCTCAATGAAAACTTGTTGACTGAATAAATGGGATGTAGTCCAGTCCCTCTGAGAACTCATTGTTTAGAGGAATTAAAAACTGAGAAGCACATCTGATAGAGGTGCTATGAGGGAAGGTGGGGCAGGAAGCCCCAGCAGGGGTGTGAGGGAGGGCTTCCTGGAGGAGGTGATGATTACTTAGGCTAAACTGGAGGATAATCAAGAATCAGAGTCAGAGGAGGCCCGAGGTGGGAGCCCGGGCAGAATGCTGGCGTCTGCCCCACAGGTCCAGGGCAGTGAGTCCCCACAGGAATGCAATATAGGAGTGGGCACGGCCGGCAGCCCCCCATGGAGGGACACCCCGCCTCCCAGACAGGATCAGAATGTGAAGGACCAGGCTCTCAGGTGTGTGCAGTAGCGAGGCACCCCCCCTACCATGTGCAACAGTGCCCTTCAGTGCCCGTCACCCCTGGTCTGGCGCGCTGTGAGGTTCCCTCCAACAAGACACAGCCTCGCCTGTCACGGGGCGTGCGTGAGGTCACCGTGGGGGTTAAATGGATGAACGCGAGCACGGGGTCTGGCACACAGGAAGGGCATGATAAATAGGAACGGTTGCTATTGATAAATAGTGGCTATTATCAGTATTTATCAAATCAGTACATGGGATTTTTTTTTTTAAAGAAAGGTTGAAAAGCACCGCCCTGGGGAACCATTAAAGGGATTTTAAGGAAGACACTGATGGGATCTGATTTGCAATTTAGAGAGATCACTCAGGCTGCCCGGTGGAAGATGGATGAGAGGAGGGGAGGCGTCGGACCAGCGAGGAGGCGATTTCAGGCAAGCAGGTGAGAAATGGAAGCGTCGCGGGCAGCGAGCCCAGCAGGACGGGGTGACGGATGGGTCTCAGGTGAGGACAGCAGAGCGGATGGGAGGACTCGTCTGCAAAGTGGGTCAGACATGCCTGAAAGGCCCCCATTTTCAAGTGAGTGGGGAAGCAAGGAGGGGTCGCACGGCCCAAAGCCAGCCCTGTGGGGAGGGTCTGGCGGTGCTCCTGGCCTCGAGAGGGTGGGTGGGAATCCTGGGCTGACCGGCAAACGATCCCAGAGGAGCCCGGGTCCCACTTCCTCAGGTGTCCTTTTGGGGGGTTCGTGGGGGCCACATATCTTCAGTCTGTAACTCCTGGTGACTCTGCAGCATCGGTCACTGTGGCCCCCAGGGTCAGTTACAACAACGCAAAGTCCAGGTTCACAAAAAGCACCTGGACTCCATCCCCCTGGGTCTAGGGGAAGCTCGCTCAACAACATGCTTTGGAACTGTCGGGTCTCAGCATCATTGACACACCTTTGCTCCCCTCTAGAAGCAGAACGCACCTGTCTGCACAAGAGCCCTTGTGTTCACTGCTGGCCGCCTTGTGTGAAGACATGATGGGGTCACCTCGTCAGGTGGACACACTGACCCACACACACTCCCTCCCCTGGCGCCAGCCTTTCTGGTCTGGTTATGAGTTTCCTCTGTGACCATAATGACTCTGCCCTTCGCCTCGTTCCTCCTTGTCTGCCCTCTCTCTACAAATAGGAGGCTGCCTGCGCTTCCTCGTCATCAGACTGAATATTCTGCAAATTAATAGCCGTCCTGTCACAATTAGCCTCTCCTGTTGGGCGCCTCTCATGCCTCTCCAGCTTCTGCATCTAGAAGGCACAAGACACACTCCCCAAATGGAAGATCCAAGCTCACAGACGCGCCATGCAGGGCACAGACCGTCGGTGACAGCAAAACAAGGTCCCTCAAGTGCCGTAGCTCGAGGCTCAGGAACAGATGACAGCACAAAATATCTTCGGGATAGAGTATTTACAAAACTGCTTTAAAGGAATTGCATGTCATTAATCACCCGTTCTTAAAAATCAGTCTTCTCTTATTTGTTCTAATTTAGCTAAATGGCCCTGGAAAGGCAGACCGTGGCTTGCTCACTAAACGCCAGTTGAAAATCATAATGTTCCATCCAATTTCCAACTCACCCTGTGCTATGGAGTTTTTTCTCCTCATATCTCTCCAGTCCCCAAATGCTCCAGACGTACGAGAGTCTTCATTTGATTCATTCTAATAACTTTTTTCATCAACATGACTTTGGAGAAGGCATGGGTACTGCAAATTAAATATTATTTATGACTTTAATTTGTGTCCTATTTGGCTGTTACATTCACGGGGCCAACGTGGCTATCATCATTATCATATTGTTTTAGACTCCTCCTAAAATTAAAACCCACTCCCGTCCTTACATGTTTTATTGTGCTTGTCGGCCTTGCTCTGCGCCGTCGCGAACGTGATTAATTCTGTTAGCCAAGTGCATATGGCCCGCCTGGCCACCATCCATTATCTCACGGAGGCTGTCTGCGAGTGAGTGCTTTATTATTACTTTTTTCATCTTTTCAATTACCAGATGTGCGTCCCCATTCTCGGGGCTCCCGCCCTCTCCAAATCCCAACCTCGGCAGAGACGTTGGCCTCTGTGTGATCTCGGCTCCTTCCGTGTCCCCCTCACTCGCCATGCCGCCCCCCCCCAACCCCAGCAGTTGCTGGAGCCCACCCGGGCCCTCCCCTGCCTCTGGGCATCCCCACATGCCCTTCCCTCTATCTGCAATGCTCTTCCCTCACTTTCTGCATCCTCATCTGTAGGTCTCCTCAGAGAGGTCTTTTTGGGCCCTTATCGAAGTTAAGTCACATCTCCAACCTCGGGTCCCCCATTTTTCTGCATCATGGCCCCCTCCTGCCCTCCCTGCACACGTCTCAGTCATGTCTGTGGATTGTCCCCCAACTGGAAGTTCAGCGCGTTAGAGCATAGACTTGATCATTGCTCTGGCCCAGAGGCTGGAGGGGTCCAGGGACCTTCACCACGTGAGCAAGCGGGGAAGGGAGGGAGGGAAGTAGCTGGCAGAAAAGGACCCAGGATCAGAGGATGCGGCTGGCGAGGGCAGGGGAGGGCAGAGGAGGGGAGCCCAGCCAGGGTCTGCAGGAAAGGCTTCTGCTGGCAGACATCGTGAGAGGCGCACACACGAGCAAAAGCAGGCCTCTGCTCTGGAGGGGAAGCGTCACACCCCTCTCAAGCCTGGGGCCAGCACGGTTGAAACGACAATTCTTGTGTCATCAAGGTTATGTTGAAACAAAAGTCTCCCCCCCCTTTCTTCATGTACCTACTTGTGAGGGTGTTCTTTGCAGGGGGAGGTGACTGATGCCTCCCTGGACAGACCCCAGCCTGGGGCCTGATGCCAGGTACCCCTGGAGCAGGGTGGGCTGGCAGACGTAGGGCTGAGCCGAGCTCCCCATGGGGAGCCCTAGGAACGGGGTGACCGCTGGTCACTGTCCATCTCCCTGAAACACAGAGGAAGAAACACCTCTGGAACTGCCCCCTCCAACCCACCCGAACTCAAAGCCAGAGCAAGATGCAGGTGCCGCCCCACCCCCCAGCTCAGGGAGAGCCACTCGCAGCCCTGGCGCCTCCCAACACTGAATGCCACGGTGCCCCGCTGGCTCCTTGCCCATCTTCTGCTTCCTGCAATGGCAGAGAACCCCTGTGGACAGGGCCCTGTGTCCACCTTCTCTTTGGGGCTGCCTAGCACACCCTCCAAAAAAAGGTGTGAAAGTCCTAGCCCCTGAGGAAGCCAAGCAAAGCGAGTGAGAAGGAGAAACCAGGTCAAAGCAGCCTGGTGAGTGCCCCGCAGGTGCTGTCACGCCTGAGGAATACAGAGAAACAAGGCGGAGGAGCAGGTAAAACCAAGATCCCCTTGAATCTCACTGTGGATTTGAGGCCCGGGGGGCTGGGCTGAGGAGCAAAGGGGTGAGCAGGCCCCACGGGCTGGGTCAAGACTGGGGGGTCTCAGTGAGGTGTGGTCACATACATCTGAAGATGTGAACATGTACCCCTAAATCATATATCATCGTTGTAAACTGTAACCTTCATAAAACATTATACCATTTAAAAATAAAAGGAAAAACGAAAGACAAGTCAAGCGAGCGTAACAGCGAAGGCCCAGCCCCTGGGCCGCGACCATGACCTTATTTGAGTCGGACCTTTGCAGAGGATGGAGTGACGATGAGCTCATGAGGTGGGCCCCAATCCAACAGGACTGCAGACAGGAATGGGGGGACACCACGCAGAGATGAGGGCAGAGATGGGGTGAGGTTCCCAAGTCAAGAAACACCAGGTCGGCCAGCACCCCCAGAAGCTGGGGGAGGCCCGTAACCAGGCCTCACACCCTCAGAAGGCCCCACCCACCTGGACCTGCGGCCCGAGGCTGTGAGTCGTCAACCTTCTGTTGCTTAAACTGCCCAGTTTGGGGGACTTGGTTACGGTGGTCCAGGGGACACTTACCTTCCTATCTGGGGTCCCCAACAGCGCTGGGCGCACGGCAGCCGCCCCCAAGAAATGTTGCTGATGTCCTCAAGCACACTCGTGGCTCAAGTGTCCAGCCCCACCTTCCAGTCCGGAGCTCGCTCTCCGATCCCCATTCAGGATAGCTGGGCTGTCCTTCAAGGTCATGGGCAGGCCCCCTCCTGAGAGGAGACCAGGGTCTCTCCATGTCCAGCCCCCAGGGACGGTGCTGCCTCTGCTGCCTCCTGCACTCCGACAGTGGCCTTGGCATTTCTCTCTGGCCCGGTCTGCTTCCCGCCTTCTGGAATCCAGCCTGGGCAGCTCCCCAGGGCCGCACTCACACCTGTGGCAGCTTCAGAACCACACCCCTAGGGGCTCAGTTGTGAAGGGGGGCAGTCACTTCTCAAAGCTTGTTTGAGAAAGAACGTCAGGTGCATCACTCACGTTTGACAGGCAGTTGGAAGAAGACATTTCCATCGCAAGCCTTCGGGGAACGGTCGAGCTGTTACGGGTTGGATTGCCCGTCCTCAAATTCACATGTTAAAGTCCCACCCGGCAGGACCTCAGCGTGTGCCCTTAGGAAGTGGGGCCTTTGCAGATGTGGGGGTCCTGATGCCCTTATGAAAGGGGGCTCGGACACCGGCACGCAGGGAACTGCTGTGTGGAGGCTGGAGTTGCGCTGCCAGGGGGCCCAGGGCGAGGAGAGAGGCCTGGAGGTGGCAGAGAGGCAGGCCCCACACCCTGGCCCCCGACTTCCAGCCCCCAGAAGGGCCAGGTCAAAACTGCTCTTTTCAGCCACCCAGCTCGTCACGAGGCCCTGGGAAACGAACGCCATCGGTGACCGCAGCGGCAGCAAGGCCCTGCGAGGTTCTCTATGACCCGAGCAGGCGGGTAAAGGAGAGTCCTGGAGCCCTCGGTGGCTTTTTCAGGGTTTTATTGGGTTTACCAGGTACACAGCAGGCAGGGGTGCGGGGTGGGGATATGGGGGCACGACACAAATCTTCACTCTTGCTGGGCTCTTAGGCGTTCTTCTTGGTTCTCTCCTCTGCTCCTGGCGTCCCCGTGCCGCCGCCCTTATAAGCCCTGTCTCGGCCCAGGTGAACCCACCTACGCGCGCCCACGGCCCACTCCAGGTGCCGCCATCGGGCATGCATTCAGGACGGCAGGGATCCATCATCAACGCTAATGGCGGGCGGGCAGGAAAGCCTGACAACCATTTACCCTACAGTGATGTCCCTTGTCTCCATTTTACAGAGGAGGAGGAGAGGCACAAAGACCAGGTGCTGAGGCCTCCTGCCTGGGAAGAGGCGGGGGGTGGGGGGCTGAAGCACACATGGCTCGGGCAGACCCAGCCCCCAGGGGCCTGAGGAGTGGGGAAGGGGACTTTGTGGTTTCCTGAGCAAGGATTTAATGACAGGCCTTGGAGGCCCTGCTCAGAGCCTCCCTCCAGCTGAGGCCCTGGGCGGGTGCAGGGCCTGGGAAGCTGCTGGTCTGTGGAATTAGCTGGCAATTAGCCTCCGAGAGCCACGCCTTTCTGGAGGTTTCGAGCCTCCCGCACAGGCCTTGACCAAGACAGAGCTCAGGCCCACCTCGTTCAGTCTGTTTCTAATAAATTCTGGTTAAAGACACAAACCCAGGCGAGAGGTTCGCGCCTGTGGGGGAGCACCCTCAGCATCTCCCAGGAATCAGCCCTCAAAGGCTCGCTGACTGTAGTCCACACACAGGAGCAGACGCAACAGGTCCTGCGGGCGGGGTCTGCACATGGCTGGAAACTCCCAAAGTTGAATGAGGGGGGGCCTCTGTCCCACAAACGGGAAGGGGGTCCACAAGGATCACAGGTCTTATGTGGGCCCTGGGCCCTACTCAGATGCCCTTTTGCTTATTGCATCTTCATGGTGTAAGCAGCAACACGCAGGCGTGCACGTGCACACTCGTGCAGACACGCACACACGTGTGCCGACACACACACTCTCTCCAGGCTTTTCTGAGTCATCATGGTGCTAAGTCATCTCATCTGCTCTGTGAGCCGCAGCTGGACCAAATCAGGCGGAGTGCCCGCACAGGGTTCTGGAGTGGTGAGGAGGAACGAGGTGCTTGGCGGTGTACAGGGGTAGGGCAAGGCCGAGGGAAGCTGCGTTGCCTCCATACTGGCCGCTCTGAGCTGCTGGGCCTGATGCTGCCCCCTCTGCTGGACCAATCACTCACCACCTTCGAGATTTAGCTCAGACCTCCCACCACCCCCCTCCAGGGCCTTCCTGGCCCCCAGCCGACATGCACAGCCAGGCTGGGGCCCAGAGGCCCCTGACCCTCTGACTGTTCCCCCTCTGGATCACAGGCATCCCGGGGCTGAGTGGAGGGCACTGAGTTGCCCCCTTTGCTGGTGTGTTGGACGTGAGCCCTAGACAGTCCTGTAGGCTGGCCTGGACTCCGTCGCTATTGCTCGGTGCATGGGTAGGGCCGGGCATAACCGGGACTATCACATAACAGTTGGAAGCAGTGCTATGGGGCCAGGCTGCCCGGGTTCACATTCTGGCTTGGCTACTTAACAGCCATGTGGAGCCTTGGGTGTGTGGCCTAAACACTCTGTGCCCCAGTTTCCTCATCTATAAAAAGGGGAGAATGAGGGGAAGTGAGGCTCAGGGGCCTGAGGCAGCTCAGAACAAAGTCAGGCCAGTGAGGGGTCAGTAACAGGCAGGAGTTGCTGTCAGGGTCTCTTCCCAAACCCCCAGCTCTGGACTAGTCTGTAGCACATGGACACGAGCCCCCACCCCGAATCACAGAGCAAAGGGATTGAAAGAACCCCAAGCTCTCGTCATTACAAATGTTGCAGT